TTTATTCTAAACTCTTGCCCTGTGTTGTTGGCTACCTGCCCGCCCAGCAGCAGGTTGCTCCATAGGGACTTCCTCTCATTATGGAAACATTCAGAGAAAGAGAGAGTGACTTTGCTGCTGCTATAAATTATTCATTCAGACTCAAACAGACCTATATGGCTTGACACCAATTACTGACCTACACACACACACACACACACACACACACACACACACACACACACACACACACACACACACACACACACACACACACACACACACACACACACACTCTAAGTGCTTTCCAACAATTTGCAAGGTGGCCATCTGTGGGTCGCCCACAGCTTCTACGATATACTACCGACAGTAAGGCTGTAGCACTGCATGTGGAAGAGAGGGTAAAGAATATATTCAAATTAAATTGGCAGTTTGAGCCTTATTCAAATGGTGTTGTGTTTGTATTCATTTATTTAAGAAGGGACAATAAACATGAATTAACACGAGCACTGGAGTCATGTAAATGTGCCAGGTCTGTCATAGAGGCTAATTTTCATCTGCAATCCCTGGCAGGTTGAGGGCATTAAAAGAAAATATACAATACATAAGCAGGATTAAAACACATGAGCACACTGCCTCACGATTGCAGCACACATAAAGCACACGTGCAGAGTAAAAAGGCCTTTTTTTAAACGATAAAGCTATGTGTGTGGGTTAGTTAGCAGCCTGTTGGATTTAGCTTCTCCAAATATTCATCAGTAACTAAAAAGGAGGGCAACAATACAATTTGGTTTAGACTTTGATTTCATCATACTTTATAAACCATTAATGCTCATCATAGTATTTTTTTTATAAATATACTGACTAACATCTACAATACATAACTGGATCTGAATACAGGTAAAAAAACTAAACATTAAGGAGCCAGGGAAGTGGATTTAATGTTTTGTGCCGGTAAATGTATACGACAGTCCTATTCTAAACAGAAAAACCTGTTCAACAGATTATGGTTCATAAAGCAGGTCAGATGGCATGTGTCATCTCACTCAAATGACACAGCACATGTAACCCTCCAGGGTGGCAATGATGCTTGTCAGATACTTATGTAATGTGTGTTAATGTGTGTTAGTGTGTTGTTCCTGTCTAAAAAGAGAGGTCAAAAAGATGGAGCTTTGATGAATGGATGCTTCTACACAATATGTTCAGCAATAAAGAGATGAAGCGGACTCAAGGTCAAAAAGCACAATAGATCAGAGCAATCAAAGGCTTGTGACGCTCATCATCTGTATGAAGACACAACAAGACAGAGAGAGAGAGAGGTCTGCAGCACTGTGTATGTTGGAGAGGACGAGGGAAACCAAAGGCGTGTTGTGTTCATCTTCACTAGACACATGGAGCCTGAGGCCAAATCCCTGCAGAGAACACACACACACACACACACACACACACACACACACACACACACACACACACACACACACACACACACACACACACACACACACACACACACACACACACACACACACACACACACACACACACACACACACACACACACACACACAGGGACAGGAGGCAGAGAAGAAGGCGCTGAGTCATGCTTCTCCTCGTTGTGGGAGCACCAGAACTACTCCGTTTCAAACAGGTCAAGTTGTTCACATCTTTCCGCAGATGAAAAAGTCTCCAGGCCAGCAGTGGGACCCCGAAAATGTTGAGTACCACAAAGTGTTATGATAGAAATGTATAGTACGGGTCCAAAGCACAACTGCCGGATGCTAACTTGGGCAACTTGCGTGTGGTTTATATGCTACTGTATATTGAGCATGTTGAAACAATTTCTGACATTTTATGGACCTAAACTTTCAAATCAGCCCCAAAATTCATCAAAATCAGCTCACCAGGAGTAGAAATATGGCCTCTTTCTGGTTAAAACTGCAATTTATGATCCTGAAAATGTCAGAATCTTATTCAACATCCTCAATAACCCAAATTGTCCAAATCGGTCAAGACATGTTTTAACAATTGTCTACATACTGTATGCAAATGAATGTAACTTATGCTAATTGTTCAAATTGCCCAACATATGAAAGTTAGCATTGGCAGTTTCACTGCCGTACTATACATTTCTAACATAAAGCTTTGGGGTACTCAACACTTCTGGGTTCACAATAGGACTCAAACTAACAGACTAAAAAGGAAGAACGGGGCATATTTTACGCCATATGTCTTTGTAGCAAATGAACAGAGCCAGATTTTGAAAACCGTAGAAACAGTAACAACTATACATTCAGAGGGTTCTCTTTTTTTGTTGGATTTGTATCTGTTATTTCTCATGTCTGCTTGAAAACCCTGACACATATTGATCCCTGCTGCTGTGGGTCCTGAGCTTCTGAACTTTCTTGTGTTTTGATTCAGACTCACCAGCTTCCTGACGCTTTGAGTCTGAAGCAGCGCTGAAACCCCTTGAAGCTGGGTTTCCTTCAATCTCTCATGAACAACAAACAGCAGAGTAAAGGATCTCAGTGGGAGACATGACCCCCCCACAGACATTCAAGTGTATTAAAGTACATGTGAAAAGAAAGCATCACCTCATAGGTACACAGGTTACAACATACACTGAGGTTTAAATCAACACGCCTTTTCTTCAATCTGTGAGTACCATACGAGATCTGAGACCTTGAGTCCACACAGATTTTGAGACACTTCATGACTTCATAAAATACATTTCACAGATTGAAAGGACAGTTGTTATACATGTTTGATTTTAACATAGTGAAAAGCATAATGAACGTGCAGTTATTTTGTTTGATAATAATAGCTTGGATTTATATAGCGCCTTTCAAGGGACCCAAGGTCGCTTTACAAGTAATAGGGCAAAAAACAAACATAACAAAACAAAAAGTCAGACAGGCAAAACAACAGATCGATTTAGGGGCCGAAAGCCTTGGCAAACAGATGGGACTTGAGGGCCCTTTTGAAGGCGTCGAGTGTGGGGATGTTGCGAATCTCCGCAGGGAGAGCGTTCCAGAGGGTGGGGGCTGCCACACTGAAGGCTCTGTCCCCGAAGGTTCGCAGTTTGGTGCAGGGGGTGGTAAGCAGGCCAGAGTCTGAGGACCACAGGTTCCGGGGCTGGGCATGTGGGTGAAGGATGTCCGATAGGTACTGGGGGGCAAGGGCATGGAGGGACTTGTAGGTGAGGAGGAGGACTTTGTAGGATATGCGGGACTTGACCGGCAACCAGTGTAGGTGGATGAGGGTGGGAGTGATGTGCTGCCACGGCTTTGTGTGTGTGAGTACCCTAGCAGCACAGTTTTGGACATACTGGAGCCTGTCCAGGGTTTTGTTGGGAACCCCAAACAGGACACCATTGCAGTAGTCCAAGCAGGTGCTGACAAAAGCATGCACTAGGGTTTCGGCAACCGACTCCGAGAGTGACGGTCGGAGTCTGGCAATGTTCCTTAGGTGGTAAAAGGCCGAATTAAAAATAAGGGTAAAAGGAAATTACACATTTATTTACAATGTTCAGTAGAGATTCATTTTACAAATGACTTTGTCCCACCCTTTGGCATTGTGTTGTAGAAGGACGTTTTAAGGGTGGTGTTGTTGGTCTTTCCAAAGCCAAAAAGATAAATAGCAAGGGGAAAGGTAAACTGTTAAATGTATGTTTATATACCCTTTCATAAGCACATTTTTTTATATTGGGCTAACTAGCTTAATGCTACTCAAAACCAAGAGATGCATCAATCAGGAGGCAGGCAAAAAACTGGGTGTCCAAACTCTAGCAGGCAGGGTCAGAACATTCAGTTAAGTTTACTCTATACTATCAATATTTTAAGTGCACTACCTTACTGGGAGACAGCTAATTCTGACTAGAATCTGAAGCCAAACTTCGAAATAGAAAAACTATATCATAAAATGATTTTTTTATTGGCTGATGGCAAACAGCTGACCTTCCTGGGGTCTAAACCTTACATAAATCACATAACACAACTGACATACAAATACAATTTTGCATGATTGCATACATATGAGAAGATATGCTAGAATACTAATTCAACATATACATCTATATGTAAAAGAATAAGAATTATAGATTTTGATGGGATTGAGAATAATACCACTCATATGAAGTGAAACACAAATATTAAAAACTAGCATGGTTAAACTCCTACTAGTGTGCCTTCTGTATGCCAATACAGAGTGTCATCATAGAACAGACCCAAAATATTTACCTGGGAACTGGGGAAAGTGCCTTTTTTCCCCAAAATGCAAATCCAAGTCTGAGCAATGAAGTGCCTTGGGTTCCGAATGGTATTATTTAATTAGGCACGCTGGTGTGGGGTTCAATATTTGCTTGGTAGAGGGGCTGTGTTTATGCCACTGGATATTTACTGGAGCAGTGGAGGTTAACATCTTAAGCCTGTCTTCTTTGTTCATCAGATTACACTTCCGTGCCACCACCACCACCACCACAGGCAGCTGTTAAAATTGGCATCAAAGTATTCATTATAGAAAAGTGCCAGTTGTAGCAAGTTGGAGGGAGTGTGTGCATGCGTGTTTGTGTTACTTAATGGGATAGTGTGTGTGTGTGTGTGTGTGTGTGTGTGTGTGTGTGTGTGTGTGTGTGTGTGCGTG